GGTGCTGTCTTTGACGGACTATATGTCATATATTGGAGGACTGTTTGGTCTATGGTTTGGCACAAATGGCAAAGACTTTATTATTTGGATAATTAAAAGTCGATTCTGGGTTTGGGTTTATAATCAATACCATCGACTCATTCCTGATAATAGAATTCATTTCTTTAATAACGGATAAAATATAATTAAATTAATCAATTAATACAATATTATTACAAAGTTCTCATATTGACTTGTTTAATACATTTATAGAGTATACACTTCGAGCTGTAATCATAGCAATAACACACACAATAACATATTGCTTGGCATACAGTTTTGAGACATAAACACAAACAAATAACTTATTATGGTTTTAATCTATATAAATAGCAGTTAATTTATTTAAAAAATTATTTGTTATTTAAAATATAAAACTATGTATTTATCATTGTTTTTACCCACATTTACGTAGTAAAAAAGTGGGTTATAGTTTTGGTTTGTACACAGTACAGTATAATTTAAAAATACTTATATAATATGATATCATTTTAATTATGCTGTATTGATATATTGATAAGCTTAAATATAAAATATTTGCTTGATACAATAGCTAAACACTAATTGCAGGTAAGTGTACAGATAATGTTATCAAAACCGCGTTACCCATGGTATCAATAAAAATGTGTTATAACCCTAAATAAAATCGTAATGTTTATTTGTATTTATATAACGTTTATCACAATATTATTGATAAATGTTTTCATATCACACAATAATTTACGGCATTTTAAGTCGTATTAGAAATTATTAACAATTTTTGTTTTTACTTCATAAATCAGTTATGTTTCAAAATCAGTGACTATTTATACAAATTTATTATGCAATTTAAATAAAAATACTTAAATTATTTATTCAAAATGTCTGACATTTTGGGAAAGTTTCGTATTTGCGATACGATTGACACGAATATGAAAAATAAAATCAAATTATTTCACGTTTTCAATGACTATAATAACGATAAGAATATATTATTTGTCACAAACGATGACACCGTCTATGGTTTAGGGGCTAATAATAACGGGTGTCTGGGTTTGGGCCACAAAAATGCCGTCAAAACACCACAAACTATACCGCAATTACGCGGACAACGGATCCGACAGTTTATCAATGGCTCGGACTTTGTGTTGGCTATGAATGAGAACAACCATGTGTTCAGTTGGGGGCGCAATGAGTGGGGACAGTGTGCTAGAGATGTGACACAAAATGTAGATTATTTATACCCGGATGAGATATTATATTTGAATGACATGAATATTATACATGTTTGTTGTGGTTATCAGCACTCCCTGGCCATCACCACCGATGGACAGGTGTACGGGTGGGGCGATAATGAATGGGGACAAGTAGGTGGTGGTGGCGATGAAAATAGTAGAGTCTTATCACCAGTTTTATTGAAATTTGAAAATAACTATAAAATTAAAAATATTTTCTGTTTTAATAACATTTCATTTGCCATAACATTGAGTGGTTTTGTATTCAGTTGGGGTGATAATGGTTACCATCAGACTGGACACGATATCACCGGTGATATATTGTTACCCAAATTGATCCCGGTGTTAAATGACATCAAATCAATCGTATGCATGTATAACAATGACAAAAGGTTTACATGTTTTCTGACAAATACTGATTTAATATACTTTTGTGGACTATATAAGACTGGTGAGCAAGTACAAAAAACACCAAAATTAATATCATTAAGGCTTAATATTATGGGATTCAGTGAATTATGTTCATATACTAACCATAATCAACCATGTCTAATTGATGATAAAGTTTGTGAATTTATATCACCATGCGAAGTAAATAAATATAAGCATGATAATTTCATTGACTTTTATGCCAATGTATATGAAATAAGTTATAACACATTGCTTACGAGTATAAATACAAATACAAATGTAGTGACCAAAGTTACACAAATGGTCAAGCTACTATTTAATCCATTTTCAAAACAAAATGATAAATTAAATGAAGGTATAAAAAATATTTAAAGATTATCATAAAATTAAATTCATAATTATTTTGAAAATAAATTATTATTATAGGACACAGTTTGTCAGAAAGTTATTATAAACAGGTTTTCACAGAGTTATCGACCATAGGATCGGGAGCTTTTGGTACAGTATGTAAAGTTAAGCATAGATTCGATGATCACATATATGCCGTCAAAAGATTGGAAATTAGAGGTATTTTAAAATTATTTTTTTTATAAACTGAACTATATTTTGTGAAATTAATTTTAGACTTTACCGACGAATATATGCATAAAATTCTGAATGAAGTGAAGAGTTTAGGAAAAGTTCGTTCAGAATATGTGGTCCAGTATTACAACTCATGGCCCGAAGGCAAACACCTCTACATTCAGATGGAGTTCTGTTCACAGAATTTAAGGAATATTCTTGAAGTGAAACCACAAGTATTTGGTCGACAATTAGGAGAAGCCATGGATTGTGTCGAGTATTTCATTTCGTGTGAAATATTGCGACAAATCTTAGAAAGTGTTCATTATTTGCATGAATTGAATCCACAAATTATTCACAGAGATCTCAAACCAGAAAACATATTAATTACTGAAAATGTAAGGAACGGTAGATTTGTTAAGTTATGTGACTTTGGTTTAGCTGTCGAGCACCAGACGGCATCTCAGAGTCACTCAATATGTAAGGGAACTCCTAAATATATGGCGCCAGAATTGTATCAATCAAAATACACCAACAAAGTCGATATTTTTAGTTTAGGTATCCTTTCAATGGAATTGTTTGATATAATTCTAAAGTAAGTACAATAACTTAATAATTTAGTCATGGTCGTATAAATAAAGTAATTTAAAAATTAGTAACCCATTTTATATAATAGTGGGACTGAGCTGGATAAATATACTAACAGCATGTTTAACAAAAATATAATGAATTTGCTGGATATATTTAATTCCATGGTTTCATTTGGGCCTAATGTTAGACCTGGATGCAATGATATATTGGAGAGTTGCCATAAATGGACACTTAGCATAAACATAATTGAATCAAACATTGATGAATTTATACAATTTTTAAATAAATATCCTGATGACTTTATAATATTTAAGGAATTTATCACATATAAATTACATATTGCTAAAGTTAATACCCAACATATTAATACATAAAGTACCTACAGGGTAGCCTTTTATTAACGATGCCATTTTGATTTTCGTTTACACGTTTACATACGATATATTGATAGTTCCATATGTTGAAACTGAGAAGGCTACCTGTGACGCTACTTGTATTTGCGATCGCGCACTGTCATGTTTTTGTCCCAAAATTCCTTTTACAGGGTAACCTTTAATTAACGATGCCACTTTGATTGCCGTTTATTTGAACACCCTGTATTATTTTTAATTGATTCCTTCACCAAATTATAGAGAAATAGTTAGGGTTTTGTTTGATATATAACATATATGACATATAGTCCGTCAAAGACAGCACCGGTTCCTCCCGATAGACAAACACCGGTTGACTGGAGTCCCAAACTATAGACGTTTCTAAGATTAATGACTCTTTGGTGCGATTATGACTCAATTGATGCCACAATTCGTTACCAATTTGTGTATCACTTGTAATGACTCTCGAGTTGTACTCAACGGTCAGACAGTCTTTCGGACAATAAATAACACATTTTTGTTTAATACTATTAATACCTAAATCTTCATTAATAGTACGGTTTTGAATTGAATAATAACAAAATCTATGCTCAGAATTAGTCTCAAAATCTAATTCATGTAAAAGACTATCAATAAAAAGTGGAAAACAATTATAGCATTGTTTCCAATAATATCCGACACATCGACGCATACATTGTGTATGAGATGTCGATCGAAAGGGTCGTTCGCCAGCACTTCCCGCATAATAACTACAGTTCCCGTGAGGGGGCGTTAAACTTGTTTTTATTGCTTTCTGTAAAATTATCGTCTCATTCATGGGATGAATAAATTTAACTGGATCATCTAACGGATTCTCCATCGTATATATCGTATGCGAGTGGAAATGTGAGTTAAACAGTTTTCCCGCTTTAAAGTTATACAAAATCCGAAATATTTGGTTAGCATTTGATTCAGTACTAACTGAATTTATAAATTGCTGGTTCATTTTAATCGTAAGACATAGATATACGTGTCCCCAAGTACGATGGGAATAACGACTTTTGATAATATTAAAATTTGTAATGTTATAATCAAATGTATCACCACCAATACGCATGTTATTTAATTTTAAAACTGACGTATTTAGTAGATAGTCTAAATTTGTGTTAAATGTGCATGTTTGTGCAGCACGAACGTTTAAAAGACCTGTTTGGCATTTAAATTTGTCTAATGATAAATAATTTATAAATATTAACGTAATAAAAGGGTAGTTATCATCGATTTTGTAGTTTGTTATGTCAATTGTGGTAATGGTATGAAAACTGAAATAGTTTACAGATATGTCGTATAACTGATGGATAAGTATTGCCGTCAATAGTGCTATAAATATGTGCTGAAAGTAATTAGAAATATTTAAAGCTCATTATAATTTTATAATTATTCAAAGTAAATTAAATACCTTTAAAATGTAAGTAATTTTTGATGAATTAAGTATATTTCTAACAAATGTATTAATTGTATTTATAAAATGAGTATTTCTAACATATAGGTCGCTATAAAATATGAAATCTTGAATTAAACCAATGAAACTAATTCCGTGCCATAGACTCAATATGTTGGCTATACTTATGATTAATGTAATGATAGTATTTAGTGCTGAATATTTGATTAAAATATAAAAGTCTCCATTTAAATGAAAATAGTAATTATTAAATGTTTGAATATAAGCAGGTACACTATTAATACAATATATAAATAGATCTTCAAAACATTGTACTGGGCATTTATTTTGGCAAATAAGATAAATCTTATTGTTAGTATTATTATTATTATTACTATAATAATCTGAACAAAATGTGACATTTGGTTTAATATATATGTCATTCAATTGAATGGTTAATAGACTGTTGTATTTGGGAATACATTTGAATCGATTCTCGTATTCATTTCGATAGCATTTCGATAGCATTTGTTTAGACAATGAAATTGTGTTTC